GTGGGTGTATGTGCATGCAAACACATGTCTTGTGTGTGTGCGCGTCCGGGAATCTCCCATGACTAGACTACCATCTGCTGTGAGGGTGTTGAATGGTTGAGGCAGGGGCTGATCTAGACGGTCTCTCAGCCTGTTTCCAAAGTTTTAGGCCCATGTAGTAGTGTATATGTGTGTGTGTGTTCACACATGGGTACACGTGAGTATATACATAGTCACCACTCCCTATTTATTGATGGGGTCTCCGTGTGGTTAGCAGGGGTGCACACTGCATTGTGACTTGGTGCTGGGTGCTTTGTGGGCCTCTTTTGTGGGGTGCAGCTGGGGAGGGAACGTTGAAGACATGCCTCTGTGGCAGTCTGTAGGATGCTGCTGTCGCAGGTGTGACACACAGGTGGGTGTGGGAGTATGTGTACGTAGGGGCAGGATGGCGGGGTGGTGGTGGGAGGAGATCCAAATAGTGCGTGTGGCTTTGTGAGTGGATTTTGTTCCCGCAGGCTTGGGTATCGGACTGACCTGGTGTGTGGCTCCAGGGTGAGATTCTGATTTCCATCCGGTCTGAGCTGGGGGCTTTTCCATACACCAGCCCATTAATCTGTCCTATCCACCCAGTGCAGTACATGTTATTGTTCCATTTCCACAGGTGAGAGGTTCCTGGATGGCGTAAACGACTAACCAGAAGATGGGCTATTTGAACCCACCCAGTGGTGCTGTGGAAGAAAGGCCTGGCGATTTGCTTTTGTAACGTTGTTGTTGCTATGTGCTGTTGAGTCAATGCCAACTCATAACAACCCTATAGTGTAGAACTGCCCCATAGAGTTTTCTAGACTGAAATCTTCACGGGAGCAAATCATCTGGTCTTTCTCCCATGGAGCAGCTGGTGGGTCAAACCACTGACCTGTCCGTTAGCAGCTAAGCACTCAATCACAACCAAGAAAACCCTCTGGAGCACAGTTGTACTCTGTTAACAAACACATGGGGTTGCCATGAGTCGGAATCAACCCGTCGGCAACAGGTTTGTTTTTTTCCCACAGTTGAGGAAGCTCAGGCGCCAAGAATCTTGCCCAGGGTCACACTACCACCGAAAGCAGAAGCAGACCCCAGGTCTCCTGACTCCAGGTGGGCACTCCAGCCTCACTCGCCTCCTCCAGTATCTGGGAGTGAGTCACCAGGACAAGGCTGCGGAGACAGTTCTCTCTTTAAGTCTGTGGAGGGCATCTCCTCCCAGGCACCCCATGCCTTTGGGATCCCAGGCAAATGTCCACCTACCCAAGTTCTTTGTCCCCACCACTGACTGCACTCTGACCCACCTCCCACCACTCCCAGGCTCAGCAGCTCATCGGCCCCCTCTCCCCACAGCAACCTCACTGGAGTACCTGAAAAAGCTCACTCCATGTATTATCCATATGTTTTCACGCCAGCTGGGCACTCCAGTTATTGTTCTGGTGCAGGAGGGCGAGGGGGCGGCGTGTGGGCGTAGCGACGCCGGGCTGTCTGCTCCGTTCCTCTGCTTGTTATTACCTCTCCTCCAGGCTCCCATTAGCCTGCCTGCCCCAGAGGCCCGCGCAGGCTCCTACGCTCCTCGGCACCTTTGTTCCTTAATTATCACTGGGGAGCTCCGCTCACCTGCATGCCACTTTCTAAGAAGCTGTCTGGCTCCCCTTCACCACCATGCATCCCTAGGACCTAAGCCTCCTCCTCTGCCTACACCCCCTGGTTGGGGGGCGGTGTCTAGCCTCAGCCCAAGCTTGCCCAAGGCTTAAGCAGGCTCCAGAGCCTGAGGACTGGCCATTCCCCAGCCCTTATAGAAGACCTTTCTCTCTCCCTCCAGCATCTTCTGAGAAGCCTGCCCAGACTGACCCTGTTTTAGGGTCCCAGGGCTGGAAGGGACTTTCGACTATCATGTGGTTCAACAACTGCCTTCCCACCTATTGCCCAGACTACGCCACCTACAGAAGGTACTTAATGAATATTCAGTGAAAGGATGATTAATCTCTACAGCCTATACTTGAATGCCTCCCCTGATGGGCAGCTCACTTACTCCCAGTACAACCCGTGCCACCTTGAGATGGCTGGGACTATTAGAAAACCACTCCCTCCTCATGCTGAGCTCAAATCTCTAGCCAGGGCCCTCTGATTTCCATGGCTTTAAATCTAGAGTCTGCCTTTGCGCTGCTATGTCTCTGAGTCTGGGGCTCAGTCTTGCCTTTCCCGCTGAGGACTCTCTGGTGCCCGCCCCAGGTCAATGAGTGTCTGGTTCCTGGAGAGCAGAAACCTGCCAGCCCAAGGCTCTGTCCGGGAGGCACTGGATTCTCCTCCTGGGCTTGGGGGCTCAGCCTTGCCCCAGTCCAACTCTAGCCCCTGGCTTTCCTCCCATCTCAGCCCTCTGGCTGCTGTTCTTGGGCAGGAAGGCAAGGGGGAGGAGGCGCTGGGGTGAGAACCCTCCGGCCAAACAAGCTCCAACAGCCGACAACAACAGCGGAGGAGGGCAGGAGGGCGGTGGCAGCACACAGGCCAAGGCTGCAGGGAGGGAAGGCCTCAGGGGGTAGGGTGGTGGGGGAGACAGGAATCTCCCCTCCCCAGCCAGCCTGCTCCCCTGTCTCCTGACCGTTGCACAACTCCCTGCCTCAGTGTTCTGTGGGTGAGAGGATGTCAGCTGCGGTTCCGGATGAAGGGGTGAGGAATGAGAGGAACCAGTGGGCATCAGGGACACCCTCGTGTCAGGACAGGGCCTGCTCACGGTGCTCCTCTCCTGGGGATAAGAGTGGTTGCCAAAGCCAAGTCGGGCTGCCTTCAGACAGAGGCCCTCACCCACAGTTGCACAGAGGTGGGGGTTGTGCTGTACAGAAGGAACCCTGTGTCCACAAAGGGTCTCAGAGCCTGGGCCCAGTCCTGTTCCTTCAACCCGCCTTGGGGCCCTTTCAGACACTTCCACTCAATGCTCCCACCACCTCCTTCCATCCACCTCCCCACCCCCACCCTTACCCACTCTTCACTCCAGTCCTTGATCCAGTTGGAGAATTTCCTTTAGATCTTCATCTGTGTGTTCCCATAAGTATGTCTAATTCTCCCTTCAGATTTGGGGCTCCCTGAGGGCAGGGGCATACCTCTCCTCTCAGACTGGGGGCTCCCTGAGGGCAGGATCATGCCTTCCCTCAGACCTGGGCACACAGGAAGAGTGGAGATTGAAGCCCAGCCATGGCCTGGTCTTAGCTCTGAACATCTTGCGACATCCCAGGAGTGCCAGAGTGAGGCCAGGAAGGCGCCTGGTGCACGTCAGAGGGCCTTCTGAACAACAGCTGGGGGTGGAGGACTCGGGTTGGGAAGCCATCTCCAGCCACCAGACCGTGACCTCAGCCAGGCTGCCCCATGCTGCTCTCCGGATCTGACTCAGTCCCTTCCCAGGGCTGCTGCTGGGCGTCCATCCCCAGGGTCAGCCCCAGGAGGCCGACAGATTCCATAGGCCTCACCCAGACAGAAGCCACCCCCCATCCCACTTGGGCAGCCAGGGGCTCCAGCAGAATTTGAGGAGAGAGCAGAGGGCAGGTCACTGCTGGGCTGCTTGCTCTGCCACCTCCATCTCTTCTCTCCTCACTCAGACAATTCCTCCAGGCCTGAGATTTCTGTCTGGAAGTTAGCATGGGCCCTGAGGAGGCACCACCTTCCTCACAGAGCCCCTGACACAGAGGTACCCCAATGCAGGCTGGGGACAAAGGGACCCCCAAAGGTCAAACAAAGCAGTTCTTCCATGACATCACTCCCTTGAGGGTATCCTAAAGTCACCCCAGAACCTTCACTGATCTTAGCACTCACCAAAGGGATCTTTATAAACATAAATCAGAACATGTCCATTCCCTGGTTCAAATCCTCCAATAGCCTTCCATCTCACTCAAAATAATAGTGGAAACTCTATAAGATCTTCACTATATGGGCCTTACCCCCCTCCTGAGCCTCATCTCCTCCTACATTTCCTCTTATTCATCCCACTCCAGGCTGTTTCTCACATACACCAGGCCCACCCCTACCTCAAGGCCTTTGCACTGACCATCCCTTCCAACTGGATTTTCTTCCCTACATTTTTCCTTGTTCTTGTCATTCAAGGCCCAAGGGACTTCTTGGACCACTGGATCTAAAATAGTGCCCCTGTGTCTCCTGGTATTCCATCCACCTGTCTCCACAGCCCTGCTTTATTCTTTCTTACAGCATTTATCACTACCTGAAATGAGCTTATCTTTAATTACTTGGTAATTGTCTGTCTTGCCTACTAGATGTAAGCTCCAAGAAGACATGGCTGTATCCTCAGTGGCTAGCACAAGACCTGGCATAGTGGGTGCTCAAGAGAAATTGCTGAATGAATGAGTGACCTGGGGAGGAAGATATGCTCAGATAACTGAGGGAGCTGTTGGGTTGGTTCAAGCAAGGATCAGGAGAGCAGCCCACACAGCTACTTTTGCAGGAATTTAGGCAAGACAGATGGTCCTTTGGTTCCCAAGCCCCAAAAGGTATGCCAAGGGCTGAGAAAGGAGGAGGAGGAAGGTGGTCAGTAAAGGAGGCTTCTAGTCAGGGCCTTCCTAGATGGAGGGAAGGACCCTCTCTCTTCAAAGTTATAAGCTGGAGACCCCAGAGGAGAGAAAGCAGAAGGCAAAGGTCACCTACTGGGTCACTGGTTCTGCCACCTCCATCCCTCACCTCCTCACCCAGATAATTTCTCCAGACTGGAGACCCCCTGACTCAGGACACAACTCTGGGTGCCGGCGAGGAGGCCAAGGAAGGTGGCACCACAGTTCCCATTCTCTGGATGTCCTCATTCTGCAGGGGACAGGAAAGAGTGCCAGGAAATTCCCTGAGGTCAGGCCTCTCTACCAAGCTCTGACCCTGGGTTTCCTAAGCCGGGGGCTGTTTCTGCTTGGCCAACTGCGTCAAGCTCAGCGCTTTCCAAACCGAATGCCTCATCCTTCCTGCAACTTGCTCTGGCTTCTCTGTCTCCTCAATAACCTCATGTTCCTCCCGGGCAGTCCCACTGAGAGCCCAGAGTCACCTCTGACTGCTGTCACTCCCCCTGGCCCTCCAGACCTTCCCTGTGTGGTGACCCGAGACAAGTGGTCCCCTGACTGGTCCCTGTTCTCTCCATCTCATAAACTGCTGGAAAATCAGCCTTCTGAAGAAGCTTCATCTCCCTCAGCTCCGGACACCCCCAGCCCCTGGAGCAAACTCCACCAAGGGCTCCGCAGGTCAGGAAAGAGAAGAAGGATCCTGCCCGATTCATTCTCGTATCTTCTTTTGGGAAAACTGGGTTGTGATGGCAAGCACATGGACTCTGGAGTTGGGCAGACATCAGTTGTGTCACTTTCTCCATAATTCTGTGACCTTGGGGAAGTTACATCTCTGATTTCAATTTCCCCATCTCTAAACAATGCATATCTCACGGTTGCTTGGGGATTAAGTGGGAAACCATGTAATAAGTACTGTCATGGATTGAATTATGTCCCCCCAAAAATGTGTGTATCAATTTGGCTGGGCCATAATTCCCAGTATTATGTGGTTGTCCTCCATTTTGTGATTGTAATTTTATGTTAAAGAGGATTAGGGTGACGCTGTAACACCCTTACTAAGGTCACATCCCTGATCCAATGTAAAGGGAGTTTCTCTGGGGTGTGGCCTGCACCACCTTTTATCTTACAAGAGATAAAAGGAAGGGGAAGCAAGCAGAGAGTTAGGGGACCTTATACCACCAAGAAAGCAATGCCAAGAGCAGAGTGCATCCTTTGGATCCAGGGTCCCTGCGTGGAGAAGCTCCTAGTCTGAGGGAAGATTGATGAGAGAAAGCCTTCCCCTGGAGCTGACGCCCTGAATTTGGGCTTCTAGCCTACTAGACTGTGAGAAAATAAATATCTCTTTGTTAAAGCCATCCACTTATAGTATTTCTGTTATAGCAGCACCAGATGCCTAAGACAAATACCTAGCAAACTTCTAGAATATAGTTAATTCTTAATAAATGGGAGGCTCATCCCTTCCCTTTCAACCTTTACTCCCCTGCTCAAGACCCTGCTGTGGCTCCCTGTTTCCTACCATGTCTGGTCTGAGTTCCTCTGCCTGGCTCTCAAGTGTCTCCAGCCTCTGGCCTCAGCTTGTCAATCCAGTCTTCACTCTGAACACTCCCATAGTCTCTCTCCACTCCTGGGTCTCCAGTGAGCACACCATAGTCCTCTCTCTGCCATGCCCTTCTTGTCCCCTCTGCCTATCTACTTGTCCTGCAAGACCCCTTCTCCAGGAAGCCCTCTTTGAACCACTCCCGCCTTAACTGTTCTATCTCCTCCAAAACCCTGTTCCTCACGTAGCTCGGCATGATAGCTGTGCTGTTAGGAGTTGCTGCGTGTTCCATGTCTGCAGATGTCACCTGCCTATGCAGACTTAGAACTGTTTCCAGGTGAGCAGAAGAATCCTCCTGGAATTCCCCAATACCTGCTACAGTGTTAAACATATAGTACCAACCCCTCGCCCCCACCAAAAAAAAACAGTTGCCATCGGGTCAATTCTGACTCATGGTGACCCATAGGGTTTTCATGGCTGTGACCTTTTGGAAGCAGATCACTAGGTCTTTCTTCCAAGACACCACTGAGGGGGTTCAAACCACCAGCCTTTCAATTAGCAACTGAGTGCTTAGCCTTTTGCACCACCCAGGACTCCAAGCATAGAGTAAGTGTTCAGTAGATATCTGTCTTTTGATTTATTACAAAGCAATAAAGCCAATCAGTGTAAGGCAAACAGACATTGGGAGGGATTCTAGGAAGGGTGAATGAAGGTGCTGAGCCCTCTCTCCAGTGGCAGGAACTGGGCTTGGTGTTCTACATGTTATCTCATGTTTCTCACCACCCTGGGAGGTAGTATTAGCCCCATTTTACAGATGGGAAGACTAGGTTCAAAGAGATTCAATGACTTGCCCAGTGTCATGTGACTAGAAATTAGCAGAGGCGGGGGGTGGGGGGGATTGAGCAGGCTTGGTCTGGGGGAGGGCATTCCAGCAGGGGAGCAGCCTTTGTGAAAGCTCGGAGGGAGGAGACCAAGGTGAGGGTGTGGAGGCAGAGAGTGGGCAGATGGATTGGAGGGGTGGGGGTACACGGGGAAGGTGTCGGTTTGCCCATTTGAAGAAGAGGGAGAGGGGTCAACAACCATCTGTGACTGGCTGGAGAAAGATGCAGCAAGACCCTTTGGTGAACAGGTTACAGCTCCAGAATTTTCCTTATATGAAAAAAACCACTGTCACTCCCCAGCCCATACCTGCTAACATGCTCAACTTCCTCTCCCCAGGGCAGAGGGACAGAGAGGCAAAGGCTATGATATCCCCATCCCCTCCCTGCAGAGGCTGGGGTGCCAGAGATGCTAACAGTGATATTACCTGGTGACCTCAGGTTCCTCACCATCCCCCTTCCCCAAATCAGGCTCTTCGGTCACTTGTCCAGATGACTTGTCCAAAGCCCTTATATCACAAATCCTGCAGCTGTTACCCCAACTCTTGTCCCTGGTGTGGCCTCAGCAGGACCTTTCCCCTAGCCTTCATTGGGGTGCCAGCCTCGAATTCTCCTGTTTCCAGCACTTGGCACACAGACCCTCACAGGTCCCCAGCCCCCAACTGGCCAAGCCCTCCTTTCGGGCAGCCAGGCCCAGCTGGAATAACATGGCTTCCCTCCCTCCCTCCCACGAGCACTGGACTATTTACGGCTCATCAGGGCCTTCACACCCATGAGCTCACTGGAATCTTCCCCACCCGCCCTGGAAACCCAGCAGGGCAGACAGCATTAGCCCCATTTTGCAGATGGGGAAACTGAGGCCCAATGTCTTGCCCAGTGAGCTCCCAAAAGCCCCAGTACTGACTCTGAGTCTGACGCTCTTCTCAGTTCCTCCAAGAGAGGGGCCCAAATGCCCCTAAGTTCGAAGTGGGGGAGTTTTGGGCCAGGGCCAGGCAGGCAGAGGGGTAGGCCTGGTGAGTTAGCCAGTCCCAAGAGTGCCAAGGCAGCGGGCCAGGAGGGCGGGGGCAGAGGGAAGTCTTCATGGTCTCAGCCACTGGCTGGGGGAGAGCCTGGCAGGGGTATCTTCAAGGGGAATATGGGGACAGGAGTCCCTGCTGGATGGACAAGCTGGCTGGGAGCATGTTCGGGGTGTCTGGCTCCCCAGGCTGGGGCAGGGAGAAGGGAGTAACACCTTCTCAGAGCCTCAGAGCCCCCTCCTGGGCAACCGGATGTGGGTGGCTGTATGCTGGCTGCAGCTGGAGGGACACCAAGTAGACACTAGAGGGGACTTCCTACCCACAAACCCTCTGCTTAGGCAGAGTTCCTCTGCAATGTAAATGGGGTCCAGCCCATGCCCTCCTTCTCCCTTGTTATTCCACTCAAGGAGCGTTCCACCTCAGCCTTCCCACCTCTCCTTGCCTCCCGTATATCTTCCAAAAACCTTGTTCCATCCCTAGGTCCTCCCAGTTTTCTAGCCTTCAAGACATGCTCTCCTTCCCAGCCTGCACCAAAATCCCAGCCACCACCTTCCAGAAGCCTTCTCTGATTCTTCCTCAGACTCTGAGCATGATTCTTCTCCCAGCCCAGGAAACTATTCCCAGTTTGAATTCTCCTTGTTCTTTGTCTCAGAGCCTCTAAATGGGGGGAATTCTGACTCCCTCATAAGATGCAGGGGGCAGGGGTCCCTGGGGATAAGGACTGTGTGTCTCCCATCAAACTGGGGGCTCCCAGATGGTTGTGAAAGCCTCCTTCCTCTTGCTCCGCCTCCTTCAGCCTGGGCAAGCTCTGCCCATAGGGGGCGCCCAAACAGTGTTGTCAAAGGAAGGTATCTCTGTTACTGCCTGAGCTAGAGAAGTATGAATTACCTGCAGCGAGATGAACCCAACAGAGGCAGAGGCGTCAAAGGCACTTCCAAAGCTCCAGCTAACTTTTCAACTGGCCTGTGGCTAAAGGAAGCGGAGGACTCTCAGAAAAGGAGAGAATCCTCTCTCATTTGGGGTAGGAGGCTGGGGGCTGGAAAATGACCTCTAAGGAGGGTGCAGACCACATGGACCCGGATAGCTTCCTTGGCCCTGCTCCGAAGGTCCCCAAGCTCGTAGGCAGAGGCCCCAACCAAGCAACCCCTATTTCCTTCCCCAACTCTCGGAAAGAGTGGTGAGTCAGTTGTGGCCATGAACTCATCCTAGGCAGTAAAAATAGGAAAACAAACAGGCCTCTCCTCCAGGCAGCGGGGAGAAGGTAAGGGTGAAGGGGAAATGGATTTTTCCCTCACTGGGCAGAAAGGATCCCCATCTTTTGAAGTCCTCAAGAGTGAGGCAGCCTTCCTTATGGCACCTAGAACCTCAGCCACATCAAAGCCACCAAAGGAAGGTGGTTTGAGGGGGATGCTGTCTCACACAACCACAGTCACAGTCACACATAGTGACACAACTGAGTCACTCAGAGGGACACACAGTGACACACAGTTGAGAGCGTGACACCCAGCTACACACACAAAGTGCAAAGCCAGTAACCCACCAGGCAGCGCGTAGAGACACACAGAAGAAAACACAGCCAGATTGTCCCAAGCACACTCAGATAATATCAGAGTCCCACAGGGTCACATACAGATGTCTCCACCCAGACTGCACACAAATCACACAGAGGGACACAGCTATAGACAGTCACATACATGTACCCAATATCTAGCCTCACACAGAACCAGTCTCTGGGAGTCACACACAACATTACACGGGTAACACACATTTCTGCACACATAGTCACACAAACACATAGCCATACAGTCACATGCAGCTCGCAACAACACAGCTCTCACACAATGCAGAGCCACACCCAAGAGTCACACATGTAAAGTCTCAGTTACGTACCCATCGCATATACAGTTACACATGTCACATGTTCCAGTCACAAATGCCCCAGTCACACAAGTATACACAATCATGCAGACCCACTGGGTTCATGGAACCTCTGGGGCTGCGACCTGGTGGGAATTGACCTCTGGGGTGGGGATGGAGACAGTGCCTGATTCACGGGTACCTGCTCAACCCCCTCCTTCCTCCTGACTGCACCTACATGACCACCCCCCCCCCCATTCTGAAAGGCCACTGTTTGGCATTCTCCAGGCTTAGCCAAGTCTTCACACCTCTTGCCACTGAGGGAGGAGCCTGTAGCCTTGGAGATGATTGAGTCCAATCAACATTAAGCATCATTCTTTTATTCAACAGGCCATTATTCAGCTATGTGCCAGCGACTTTGCTATGTGCTGGTGAATAGAGAGGTTATTCTAAATCAGACCAATATTTTTCACCAGTGTACTGGCTATTTCTAAATATGTGCCTGTGTGACCTTCTGCAGATCTGGCCTCCAGCACCTGCTTGCTCCTGTGCCCTGGCCTTGGGGGACTCCTGTCATGACTCTTCAATTCATTTTTCTCAGGGGCCATTTCCAGGAGGGTGAATGATTCTCATGTAATTGACACAACCTCTGAAGGAAGCATGGGGCATAGACTCAGGGAAGACTTCCATGAGAAACTGGCCTTCCCTTCTCTGGGGGAGTGAGCCGTGAGAGGCAGCTGGGTTAGAAAACAGCCTGTACTGGGGTCCAGAGAGCAGGGCTTCTGGCCAGTTCCAACAGGTCATCTTGGACAAGCCCCTTCCCTCTCAGGCTTACCTGCTTCATGTGTAACTCAAGGTTACTGGGCCAGATCAGATTCTCACCTGGGATACTTATCATTATACAGATTTCCAGGCCCACCCCAGACCTTCTTGATCCTAGAATTTGAGACTCACTGGCTCTGGAGACCTCTGAAGTCCCTTCTAGCTCTAAGAAGGACAACAAGACTTTGAGGAGCAGCTGGAGAACACGGGCTGGTCCTGAGGCCACTGACAGCTCCTCCCAGCCTGGGGCACCTGGCACGCAGGAGTCACTGCCCCTTCCAGAAGGTGACACATCATCTTGCTGGTTTAGAGGCTTGGGCTGGTTAAGGGCTTGTGGTTAGAGCAGGTTATGGGCAACTCAGAACTCTTGGGCTGTGTTCTTGGCTAAGGTTAGGCTTCCAGGCTGGACCAGGCTGCCTGAGGACTCCTGATACGTTTTCCGGGGCTAATGTTGCCCAAGCTGTCCAGAAACCAGGAGAGTCCCTGATCCCAACCCCAGGCTTGGGGTAGGGGGCTTGTCTAGGGGGAAGTGGGCAGGGCAATGGTAGGAAAAGTCCATGTATGAGTCTCAAGAATCTTGGGACTTGAATGAGGTTCTGTTCATTTTAAGCCAGTTTCCCATGTTGAGTCAATCTGCTTCCTGGTTTCTGCTTAGCTCCTTTCCTGATGCTTACTGAGTAGCATCATATGATGTCAGAGTTGGAGGGACATTAGTGGGCACATGATACAGCCCCTCAACCACATACATCATCAAAAGAGCTGCATTATTAGCTTTCCAGGTAGTCACATACAGTGCCTCATTTATGTGATACTCTCAACAATTCTGTGTGGTTGTTGTGGGGTGCCATCGAGTCAATTTCGACTCATAGCAACCCCATGTGACAGCGTAGAGCTGCCCCATAAGGTTTTCTTGACTGTAGTCTTTACAGAAGCAGTCTTTCTCCTGCTGAGTGGCTGGGTGGGTTTGAACCTCCGGTACTTTGGTTATCGGCCAAGAGCTTAACTGTGGCACTACCCAAACCAAAAAAAAAACCTATTGCCATTGAGTTGATTCCGACTCATAGGGATCCTATAGGACACAGCAGAGCTGCCCCCATAGAGTTCCCAAGGCTGTAAATCTTCACAAAAGTAGACTGCCACCTCTTTCTCCCATAGAGCAGCTGGTGGGTTCAAACCACTGACCTTTCGGTTAGCAGCTGAGCACTTAACCACTGCACCACCAGGGTTCCATGTCTCACCACCAGGGCTTCTTATTCTATATGGTAGGTATTATTAACTCCATTTCACAGATGAGAGAAATGAGGCTCAGTAATTTTAAGCCGCCTGCCCACGATCTCTTAGTTTAGTAAACAGCAGAACCGGAATTCAAACCTACTCCATCTGCTCCAGAGTACAGGCTTTCAACCTCATCTTACAGCATCCCCGAGCCTCTGCTTGAATACCTCCAGTGATGGGGAGCTCACTGACTTTCAAACACTTACTGAGGACAGATCGTGTACACACATGTTGGGGGAAGCAAAGCTCATTAAGAGGTGAAACTACTCCCCAGATGTCTTATTCCAACAGAAGAAACAAGATGTGGAATAATCACCCCGTACAATGTAGGAGTCAGTGCTTAAGAAAGAAGTGGAGAATGTGCTGTTTTTGGGAAACTCTATTAAAATTTTCTTCCTTATAATGAACCCAAATCTCCATTCCTGTGGCT